TCTGACATTTATATAACTGGGACCTCAGCATATTCTATATCAGTAGATGAATTGATGAGAAACTTCTCTTATAGTTATGAAGTAAAGTGATCCTTCATTTGCCACTTGTACAAAGCATGGGTACAGGTACATAGGAATGCCTCTTCTCACATATCCCATCCTGCTCGTCTTTGCTGAGACATACACACATAGCTGAGGGTCAGAATCAGGCCACTTACCCTGTCACCTTAGGGGCATTTCGGGGGGGGGTTTAAGGGCCTTGCTCAAAGATCCAGTGAAGGGGTGGCTATTCTGCCAGGGCTGGGACTCAAACCAGCGACCTTCCGATCACAGGCACAGAGGCTTAGCTGTTGAACTTTACACTTGCGTGTTTTTCCATTTGCATTCATTTCATGGGATTGGTATCAGAAGAACATTTATCAGTAAGCACCTGGGCTGCATCAGTTTCAGCAACATTACTAGGAAAGTCAGCTTAAGGTGAAGAATCGTGCTAAAAGAATGCATGCTCCATAGTCAAAATAGGCTTATTAGCTGCTTAGCAGGATGAGCTCCATAGTTTCAAAGGGAAGCGGAGTCCCCTCACTCCCCCCAGGAGTCTGCAACTCTGCTCTATGTGAAATATTAAACCACAATATTAAGCCAATCATTTTACATTTGTAAAAACTGCTAACCAACTGATGCATTTCCCAGTAATAGTAATGGGGGTAGGAATGTAGTTTATAGCTACAGTATATCACTGTTTGCCAGAAGGAGGAAAAAAAAATCTACTTCTGAACAATTTCCACACATTTTCTTTGGGACTTGTGTTGGAGCAATAAAAAGTTTCATGGTTATGGGGTTTTGTTCTTCCCTGCCCAGACCCTCACTGCAGCTGCGATTCAGCTCTGCGAGTCGCTAAGGCAGAGCGTCCAGGAAAGAAGGGCCGCTCTGCACCGCTCACAGTCACTCTGTTTTCTAAGATCAGCACTCGTGTGTATCCCCACTTGCTCATTGCTGTCACAAAAATAACTTGTTTCTTGTCTTGGCGTATCCATCCGCTAATTAGACTGAGGTTACTGTGATGAACAGACAAAGATTTATGCTTACCCTTTTTCATTTTCACATTCAGATGAAGGGGGGGGGGGAAAGGTAAACTAAACTGAATGTGGGCTGTGTTGCCAAAACTGCTGTAGTTTGGGATCACTGTGGTCCAGCAGTGATGGTGAGAACAGGGTGAAGTCCATCCTGTTCCTCCAGATACTGTTGGGAAAAAATGGAAAAGAAGAAGCCTATTAAGATTTCTAGATGTTGCTCTGGTGTCGTTTGATAGGGTCTGTCAGCCTGTCATGCTGATACAATCCTCCGTATATCTTGTGGGTTCTGCTTTATTTTGCTGAGCATATATGTTATTCCCAGCAGAAATGCTACGTGCCAGATTCCCTGTGCCGGAGTTTGTACACAGGATCTTCAGGGTCACTTAATGACACTCCTTTCCATTGCACGAGTGTGTAGCTTTTGTTATGCAGTTTCTACATATTGCGTGACTTATTCTGACACCTTCTGAGGTTGACCAGAAGATGTCCAGCTGATTGTGCAGCATCCAGCTCCCTAAATGCGTATCAACTTTGTCACTTAAGACATATTGCAAACATTACCCCAGGCAAGATCTCTGTAGCATTAGGGTATTAGTCAAAATATAGTTAAATGTTGTATCTCACTGACCACTGGTAGACATTTATTTGAAAAATGCAATATTGTTTTTGGGGAAGAGATCTGTATAATGGCTGTTTATCAGCAAATACCCAGCAGTCAGTCAGCATTTGTTGTTGTTTAGTGAATTGATATTTGTTTGGATTCTTACATGGTCACTGTCATACTTTGGGGATGCATATAAACACACAGCACTGGTAAAATTCTAAGCCTCTTCTCCTGTACCTCCCATGTCTGCCGGATCTTTTATTATTTTTGCATTTTAAAAAATGCAATTAATAGCCACACATCCGCATAAGAGTTTTCTTACCGATCTGACTCATGCCATTATACAGGCCTAACCTATGACAGAATGGATGGGTCCACAGTCAAGCCGGAAGCTGGACGTTCTTTGCTGTGGGGTCATGAAGGATGTATTCAGTCAGCTCAGAACCAACAACGAGTCACACAGGATTGTTACCTGATTAAGCCCCGCCCCCCCACCACCACCACCACCGCCATCACATTCTGCTTGTTGTACATTGCATAGTGTTTTTGTTAAGCAAAATGAAACAACAGACTTTTTTCTCAATAGAATGTAGTGTTTCCATGCTACAAAGTTTGTCCAAGCTTGTACAAAGTCCAAAAATGCATATTTATGAGTTTATTGATTTATTTTTTGGGGAATTACTAAAAACTGGAGCAAGATGTGAGCCCCAAGCAGTCCTGTAGTACACTCTGTCTTCCAAGTTGTGTTATTTGCAGTTATACAGTAGTGCTGTGTCACTAGCCTCCCATGGAGACCGAATGGAAACTTGGGAGGAATGGATATTCTACTCTGTGGATTTGCCAGTGCTTAGTACATAGAATCCAATGTGACTGCCAGTCTGGATGGAAGATCCTGTTCAGTTTTCAGCCCGTATCAGAGGAACACTGTCATGGCGAATGCCTAGATTGGTGTTGACTCTGCTGGAGTGCAAATAATTATAATTATGGGAACGTGTAGGAGCTCACAACCTATAGATTTGTACCCCAGTTTGTTGTGAAATGCAATCTGTGCTGCCTTTGGTGCAGTAACAGTCTTTCTGGGATAACTGGCCTAATCCCCTCATTAGGTTTTGTGTGTGTGTGTGTGTGTGTGGGGGGGGGTGGTGGATTAGGTTTATATTACATTGTGGGAACCAAATGTCCCCCGCAATGTGACAAAAACCTGTTATTTCATGTCCCCATAAAGATCTGTGTATGCAATCAAAAAGTAAAAATGGTCTCGTATTTTGTTTGGTTACTTATGGGTAAGGTTAGGGCTGGGTAGGGGTTAAGGTCGTCATGTTGGGATTAGAGTTTTCCCCATAGAAATGAATGGAGAGACTCCACAAAGATATATTTACAAACCTCTGTGTGTGTGTGTGTGTGTGTGTGTGTGTGTGTGTGTGTGTGTGTTATGTGCTATGTGCTGTTGTTTTTAATCCGTGCCCTACGGTGGTGGTGACTGCATTCACAGTGTAGGGAGGAAAGTCAGAGCCATGTGCCCCAAGGCTGAAGCTGAGGTATTAATAAATGCAGCACTGCAGCAAACAGATGCTGTGCCTGTCAGAGTGCCGCCCCTTCAGGTCCCTGATACAAAGCCTGCGCTACAATAGCTTATAAAGAGGCACTTTAACATAGGATATGCACTGTTTATTTCAGCATCACTGTGAAATCCTTCTGCAAATTGGTTGTTAGGCATACAGATCACAAATCGCATTGCAGACACACAGATTTCTGAAAGATCCTGGGAGATTAAAATGCTTCTTATTTGACATTTTTAGGAATTTTCAGTTTTAAAGTTCTCACCAATCATGCATGGGGGAGGATAGACCTGCATAAATCTCCTGATTTCTCTCTGGTGTGGGGCACCCTGATGTTGCGGTGAGACCTACATTTCCCCAGGCTGGCTTTTTCCTTTCTGCTTTCTCATCTGTATGCTTCCAGCAGCAAATGTATTTGCCCGTACGCTTGTACAGACAAGTAGCCAATTGCCACTAACAACAGACAAACTGATTTTTCATGAATGCCAATGTCTCACTTCACACCATGTAAATCTTGTATAAATTTGCGCCCCCCCCCCTCTTCCCAGAGCATGAACAGGATTGTATATAAATCTGAATCTGACATGGTCTACAGCATATCACTGATGTTTTATTCTGAAAGGTCATTTGTCTACAGTGCCTGGCTGGTACAAGCGTACTGGGATGGTCCCCACGGATAGAGGGCTAACTGGGTGAAGATTACGTCTGAGTGTTTTCATTGAGGACTTTGGGAGTGTTGCTGGTCCATATTGAGCTGTCACTTCCATGGCTGGCTGACCAGAGGTGACACTTACTGTCTGGTTGGCCTTGGAGCATATGACCGTGCAGAACAATGGCATGAGGCTGGAATAAGCAGGTGGGGGTGAGGTGGTACTTGAATGTCTTGGGTAGCCACCAAAGCCCCCNGGTACTTGAATGTCTTGGGTAGCCACCAAAGCCCCCTGCTGCTGCTTGTCTTGGGGCCTGCTGGACTTACTCACCCTGCTACCCCTACTGCAGTAAAATGGTTGTCAGTTCAGATGGAATGGAATCAGTTAAGTTAGAGTAAGGTTAAACCAGAAATAGGCTTTTATTCTAGAATTCTGGAGCAGTGTTTTGGAATCCAGTCCTCAGGGAGCTCCAGATAGTCCACGTTTTACTGGGAGCTGGGAGGGAGCAAAAACCTGGACCGGCTGGGAGTCCCCAAGGATCGGACTAGGAAACATTGTTCTCGAGTACTGTTCGTTTTAGTGATTAATGATGATAATGGGGGTTGTGTGGGTTGGGGTGCAGTTGTGGTTATCATCTGCAACTGCAGTCAATGCATGAACTTTGTGCTCCTTGAACAGGTAGTGACTTTCCTGGAACATCTCCCATTTCCTGGACATTTAAAATGCCTTGGGTTTTTGTTTCCATGCTGAGTTTGTATTTTCAGAAGACATTTGCAGTTATACTGCACTGTTCACAACATCGTCTGACCAAGCAGCACTACATTTGTAAGGAATAAGTAATGATGGCACTTGCTTAAAATGAATGGTTTGAATCCTCAGTAATGGTAAACAGTGAGGCTGTGTGGTTTTGCCACTGTTAGTCTTAACTGCTCACACCCTGGTGTAAATTGTGAATTTTGGAGTAGTGACCTACAGTGACATTTTACTGCCGTGGGATTTTGAGGGGAACCTTAAATCATGCATTGCAATATCTCCAAAGCCTTTCTTAGAGGTTTGCAAAAACATTCATACAAGTTTTTTGTTGAGTAATTTTTGTGTTGTGTTTTTCTTACAGGTGCTGGTGAGTCAGGAAAGAGCACCATTGTGAAACAGATGAAGTAAGTTTGACCCCGCCTCCCCTCCCAAGCTGCTCACCTGAAAGAGTCATATATATTCCTCATGTATTTTATCAGTCTCTTCTGTTTGCTCATGGGATTGTGGCTTATGCAGTCTATAAATATCAACTGCTTATCTCCAAGCAGCCTGACACACAAGCAGTCACATAAGGACAGCTACACTCTTGCTTTTATCTTTCGAATACAATCAGTCCTGCTACAATGTGAGTAATGAATTTCTGAAAAAACGCACGTTCAGTAAAATCGCATACTAAAATACACATATCCAGTGGGAAAAATAGGGTTATGGGAATGCAACTCCAAAATAATAGCTAAATAACTTACACCAAACAAAATGAATTAAATACACAATGGTACCACTGGTCACTAATGTAATTATATGCATTTTAAATAAATAATAACAATATATGAATAAATTATATCATAAACATCTCCTGTGGGT